AGTTGTATGTTACATAACGAACAATTTCATGGTTTAGCAATATACATATATTATATATATATATATATATTTATTAAAATAGAAAGTTGGGTTAAACTTGAAAATATGAATAATTCCACTTGGTTATAAATACAAAATAATATTTCGACGATTTTTAAATACAATCTGTTACCTATTACATACAATAAATAATATTGATGATAAATTGATCAACCATAACACATWATATATTTATTTTATATCAAACATTGTAAAACAGTGTAGTTGAATTTAAAACAGGTATAGGTATATACTTGAAATTTAAAAACTGGTAATTTATATTTTTTGAGTGAAATTCATAATACCTACTTTTTAGATTCTGAACGAAGTGATGAATGTATTGATTTTACCATGATGTGTGTGTTTTTTTTTTTGTGTGTCTGTTACAGCATAACTAGTCGAAATAATGCTTCAATTTCAAACTTTGGGGGTGGTTTCCGATGTAAAAGTGAATATCCTTGGTGCATTGTAGAGGTCAAAAGTAAACTTTTTCCAACAGTTTTCAAAAAATTCGAGAAAAACAAAAAAAAAATGACAGAAAAACGGGAATTTTTACGCATAACCAGTTTTTGACCAAATCGATTTTTTTATATGGTTGTAATTCAAAAACTAATCACTGTAAATACTTTAAATTTTACCTAATGTTTATGTTAGTATTATATTTATACAGTTTAATTTTCACATTTTTGACTTTTTTTGTGGTATTTACTATTTATAGACCAATTAGACCACTGAAATTTTCGATTTTTATGAGAATTTTTTTTTGAAGTGTCGGTAAAAAAATTTTGGCCCAATCAAAATACTTGAAAATTTAATACAAAGTTCCTCATAAGTTATTCTTATAGTGATTAAAAAATTATAAGAATACATGGGCACAATTTTTTTTTATAAGCGTTTATAGTTCAAATATTGGCAAAAATGTTGGACGACCAAAAAAACTTGAAAATTCTCATAAAGGTTCCTTATGAGTTGTTCTTATTGTAGCTAAAAAAATTAAAAATCGTAAGTCACAATTTTATTTAATAAGCGTTTACAGTTCAAAATTTTACGAAATCTGTCAAAAACGCGAAAATTTGCAAGTAATTTTGWAGTTGAAAAATCATAAAATTGTTTGTATTTATATCTAAGGTTATGAAATTTAAAACTAAGTTTTACATAAGTTTTGCTTCAAATAGCTATAGAGAACATTTGAAGCGTCATTATAGAAAAAATGTTTTGAGCGTTTAAGTTTTAAATTTTGGAAAAATTTACTAACCATGCCTTATGCAAAATGCGTCCTAATTGAAAAATATAATATATGACAATATTTAAATATAATTTAATAATTTATCCTAGACTGACAAATCATCTCCGTTCAGAATCGTTTTTCGTATACAATGATACCTATCATTGCATTCCAATTTAATTTACCCTAGTCAGAGGCCCACCCATCCCCTAATGTACAGCAGAGCGACATCCACTTACCCGCATTATTTTTATTTTTATGCTTTAAGAATATTGTGGGATGTTAAACAATATGTATTTAAGTATAAATAAGGAGGTAAAGTAAAATTAATGCTAAATTATATTATTCTTATGTATTTATCATAATTATTTATTAGGTATTTATCGTTATTCGTTTCGAATGTTACTCACAAACGTTGACAAATATATCCATTGTGATCATAGATAATTCTCCGGAAGGAAGACCTGAACAAAATATATATATACGTTATAACCAACAGCTATTGTAACATGCTTATATAGAATATAATATATTATATATTATTGTATGATATCATTTATAATACTTGGAAACATGAAGTTGCCAACATTGTGGATGAAATCAAATAAAAATGATTTTAGCTATGGAATTGATTCCACCATAGCGCAGGTGAGTGTAATACAGTAAATTAAAACTTATAAATGTCCAGAGATCACGTTAAAATGATCAAATTATATTAATATACATTATACGTGATACGCGRTTACCTATGTGTCAGCGTATTGCCACGAAAATCGATCGAGATAATTCACACTCTTGTTAAAAAAATATCACCTCATCGTTGACGTTTTGTTATTTTTKTATTATCCCAGATMTTGGCTTTGACGACCACCTATCTGTTCAGCATAAAAGTCGGCGTCGACATGATGACACCAACGATAATCATTGGTGCCATTACCGACAAACACAATGACACCGCCTATAACCCTCTATCTCAAATATCGGAAGAACAGATGTCCTGGATAGGTGAGAATCAAAATTAGACACCATTCGTAATTATAATAATAACAATATAACTTGCATTATATTATACACCACTAGCTATCATATCTACATAGTGGTATGATTAACTTCGCAGTTGGTGACACTTATTTAAAAAAAAAACATACACAAATTGACAATAAAAATCTGCATTGTTGATTAGATGAAGCACTGAGTTTGTTATTATATAGTATATTTGAATACATTATTCTTATTATACTTTTGATCAAGCTTGGAGTCAGATTTTTTTTAGAATGTTTTAATTTTATACTTAACTATAACTTTTAGGGAACTTAACACACTATCCATTTTAGTCATAAATCATTAAATTAATAATATTAAATATTAAATAGAATCCCACATGATAACATAATATTTTGTAAAAATTAATGAAGCACCAGAAATTGTTTTAAATAGAYATACATCAAATATAATTTTGCATAAATATGGTTGTAGAAGGAGGTGTGGGTGTTAAATATGACAGAAACTCGCACTCCCTGGGTCCTGCAGGTGGCGGCTGGTTGCTTATAATTTTAACGGTACAGATAGAGTATGACGCCGCACGATTTCAACAAATTCCGCACGCAGCACACATGATAAAAGTGAGACCACGCTGAATTATTTGAACAGTCATCGCGTTTTGTTTTCACGCATACATAGGTGCAACTTTAATTTTTGACCTGGGGGAGGGGCTGAATATATTAAAAGACAATCAGAAATTTATGATATAGCATTTAAAAATTGTATGGCCTAGATTTTTTTTTGGGAGGGGAGGGCTTGGCCCCACTCAATTTGCACCTATGCACGCAAAGGTCTAGTAAGATAATTGTATTTTTTTTTAAATATTTTGCAGCATTTTTTTTTGAAACAGATTAAAGATTAGGTAGGCTGGTCAAAAAGCTTGGATAATTTGTTCAAGAATTCATTTGAATTTAACTTAACACATATATTTTTAAAATACCTAAAATACATATACACAATTTTTTTTATAGCTAAGTTCAAATTTTTATAAAATTTGAAATCAC